ACAGTGATTCACACACTTTACTTATGGTGCCTACTGTTCGCTTGACTCAATTATCTCTATCTTCAATCTATCTCTTCGCTCTATCTGCCTATCTCGCTGGCTTTCTTTGCCAGGCTTATATACTAAAAAAAGAGGGCATCTAGCAAATACTCGGAGATACGCGGGGTTCCCCGATAATTCTAGAAACTTCAGCGCGCATGCTACCAGTGTCACGCGACTTTCGCTGTCGTAACAGTATTTTATACTATTCCCAGATGTTATATAATATTGTATTTATGGGGTGAATTAGAAACAATATAGCTTTCAATAATACATATGCTGGTTTCGTGAAATCATAGTTTCTCACAAGTCTCAATCAAAATCAAGAGAACTCAGTGTAACTCCAAGCTAAACTTTCTGTTCGAACCTCTCATTATTTTTAGGTTCTACCAAATCTGTCGAGGAAAACAATTTACCTGAATGTACTACAGAGTGAGGTAAGAACAGAGAAATTTTGGTGCCATGACAAAATAATTTGTTATTGCAGAGTGATTCTTGACTCTCGTGTTATCAATTTTACAACGGCTTTGTTCTTGATGAAATGAAAACTTTCACGAATCAAAAGACTTATTACCGGTAGGAATAGTTTGCCACTATGGGTAGACAAATGTCTGAGAAAGCAATCAGAACGTAAAGAATTTCTCTCCTGGACATCAGACTTTTTCTGATGACGTGACAGCCCATGACTGCATTCTCACGGTAGTTTCAGACTCAGAAAGGAGAACTACCAGAATCTGGTGCACCCAAAACTTCCAATCGAGTTTCTCCCTTAAGGATCAATCTCAGTGTACAGGACGCACGAATGACTGAAGGCTATCATGGTGATGTGCCGTTTGGTGAGACTCAAATCAAAATGGTACTTTCTCTACAGGATTCTCAACTCCAGCTCTGGTTGATGCCACACAAAATAACAGATGCTACTGGTGGATGATATTAGTTAGTCTAAGCTATTTTATCAGCAGGTGAAACAATAGATACTGTTGCGTCAGCGAGGTCACGTGACTAGTATCACGCCACGTCCTTCTCGAACCTTCGTGAATTATCGGGAGACTACTAGATTGGGGGTAGTCTGGTATATATAAGACCGGCCACGAAGCGACGCGGAGGTAATCAGTAATTGAATGTATGCGGATAAAATATTATTGGCCACGTGAGACGTGAGTTATAGCGTTGTTATAGAGCGACTGTTGAAATTAAGTGTATCGTAAAGAATAAACCAGTTTTATTTAAGAAAGGACTTGTGTCGCTAAAGTTTCGTCGGAACAAATTTACGGAAAATTAACTAACGAAAAGAGACGTAACAATACCAGTTGGTGAATATGAGCTTCTCCATAATGAGGCATGTATTACCAGTGTGGTCATGGGTCATGAAGAAACCTAGGGTAAGTAACTGGTCGTTCTACCACTGAGAAGCAGGTATATAATGTTTATCTAAATGTTGAGGTCCTGGGCACACCTACTACATATTATCCTCAAGATTTTAGCTGAGATTCCATCGGTGGAAGTGATGCAACTCCTACAGGTCCCTGTAAGGGTGGCTAAGCAGATGTCTTTCTCAACAAGGACCACTTCCAGAAACATTTCAGATAGAATACTGTCTGGAATAAAATGATTCAGGAACAGGCAGTGTAATGCTTGATGCTGAGTCTATATGGCTCAGTGCTTCCATAAATCAAGCATTTGGGCAAGGAAGAAGATGGTAGCAGTACTTGTCTGGCTGTTGACAGAAATTACAACTCAAAGAAGGAAACGGAAACACCAGTGGAGGAGCAGGATGATAGATCCAATGATTGGTTGATACACCAGTGACTATCACTTGATCTTGGCTGAGTTACAAAGAGCTTGGACATCCTCTTGATTGTAAGATCAATGACAGAAATGCATTATGAGTTATCAAGTGGTTTTTCAAGTTGAAATGTATGTGTGATTATCACTTGATTGTTAGTAAGTTAGGAAAGGTCGTTGATTGCAAGATTAATGGAACTGAAATGGCACTGTGACCCTTACTTCCCGAGTTATCAAGCAAAAATTTACTGGATTTTGCCTGTGCTTATTGTTCGAAGATATTAATTGGCGTAAGTGGATTGACTCACGAATGGTAATATAATATCACGATAGTTTGGCTTTTGATGTTTGTAGCCATCTTGGTCAGTCAATGAATTTTACTGCAGAATATTGTATTTAGCCTATGTTTGTGTGAGTGTATGTTGATACATATTGTAGTGACACCACGAATGTTAATCCTGGCTAAAGCTTATTTCTGCTGGTGAGTGATTATTTATTTCGTGATGCTGAAAAAGGTTAAGGATTAGATATGTGAGCCACTTGTTGTGAATAGTGGGCAGGTACCAGAGGATTGGAAGTTAGCTAATGTAACTCCCCTTTTTAAGAGAAGTGATAAAAATTGTCCCAATAGTTATAGGCCTTTCAGTCTTACATCAGTTGTGAGAAAAGCTTTGGAAGATCTGGTAAAATATGCTTTACAAAGCCATTTAACAAAGTTTAGAATTTTATTAAATAGGCAACATGGTTTCACTAGGGAAAAATCTTGCCTTACAAATCTTTTGACATTCTTTGAAAAGGTTACTGCTTATGTAGATGAGGATAAGGGTGTAGACCCGATGTATCTGGATTTCCAGAAAGCCTTTAAAAAGGTATCATATAAAAGGCTTGTAAAAAAAAATAGTTCTATAGGTGTGAGGGATAACTTAGCAAATTGGATAGAAGAGTGGCTGGATGGAAGAAAGCAAAGAGTTGTTACAAATGGAGTTCCGTCAAACTGGATTAATGTCACAAGTGGAGTACTCAGTCTTAGTATCTTTTTGATTTACATCAACGACATAGATGAAGG